TTTAATTCCAGCACTCTGGAGACAGAGGCAGGCAGATCTTTGTGAATTCGAGACCAGCCTGTTCTACAAGAGCTAGTTCTAGGACAGTCTCCAAAGCCACAAAGAAACCCTGTCTTGAAAACCGCCCCCTTCCCCCAAAAAATAGTCATCCACAGTTACACACTGCCTTTGAGTAAGTGCTGGGTTTTCAAGACCCTGAAGAAAATTCAGAAGGGGTGTGGTGAACCCTGTCATATTGGTGGGGCCACGCTGTAACTGCACCTGTCTACTGTGGCGCTATCTACGGCAGGGTATTTCCCAAGCCTGACTCAATGCCTGTTTATAACCTCCATGAATCTTCTCTTGGCTTGTGTGTCTGTGCAAAACACTCAGCTTCCTCAAGTGTTACCTGCAGACAGTTCCTGGTGCTTCTGCATAAGAGACGGCACTACTGCAGTGATCTACCACACCCTGACCCTCTGGGGCAGGACCTGACGCACACTCTGCATTTCTTGGGTTAATTAAAGGGAACAAATGAACCCATTTTAACCACTGAGATGACTTTCCGGCCAACACACACTGTCAACTCATTTTACAATAATGGCATATTCAACATGGATGCCTCTACTTCTCCTCCGAGCATACTTCATGCTAAGTTGAAGATGCCGTTACCCTGTTGCTGTGGCACAGTTAGGCGTCTCTGTGTAGCCTTTCTGCTGCTTTGAATATTCTCACTGCAGAGCACTGAGTTCACTGCCACGGCTTGCCATGACATGGCTGTGACAGCATGCCCGATAGAAAGAGTGAACGTGCAAATGAAGAAGGCATTGTTCCCTCTGAGTGAGTGAGTGAGATGCCTCCGAAACAAGCATACGGGTTTACTGGAAAACCTGCCCAGAACAAGACAACACGCTGGCCCAGAACTGCCACTTGGACTCTGCAACAGGTAGAAACCCGTCACCGCAGCTGAAGCCTGTCACCATAGTTCCTCAAAGAATGTCAGACATACACCAGTGTCTAACTGGGAATTAAAAGAGAATTATAGTCACTAATATACTCAAAGTGATGGCAGCTGGTGCATTGCCTCTACCAGCGACACTTAAGGCCCTTGTTGATCCCTGTTCACGAGACAGAGCCTCCCATGGCTGGGTGTGCTGTAATTCTCAGAGCAATCCTGGGGATCCTGTGTAAAATCCATCTATGCGATGAGATCCTAAGTACACATCACCCATCCCCTCCACGTTCCAACAGGCTTCCTTTAGGAAGATGGAGATTGCCATGAGAATTTCAAAGAAACTCTGAAGCCCATCACATTTTTAAAATACACCATAACCACAGAAGGGTTTGTGTTCATAAAAATAAGTAAAGGCTAGCTGTCTATCAAGACACCAAAAGTATAAGCCCTCTTTGAGTTGAAGGTCTTAGACAATGGAGGAGCTGCATTTGGGAAAATGGAGATGAAGGCATGCTACCCTGTGGGTTTCCACATAAGTTTAGCATCACAGAATACTGATGGATGCCTCAGAATGGATGCTGAAGTTTGGGGGATTCTGGAAAGCAATGTGTCCAGGTGATGGTTCTGCAACCCAGCATGGGAATGGCTTCAGCGTCCTCCCTGTCTGAGTCATACTTCACAGGGGGATGTTCTGATTCAGCCCTGGTCTCAATCAATGCCCCCAGCCCCCTGGGCTGCTGGTACACGGGCTGCAGGGTGCTACTCGCCACTTTTCACAGCCAGGGCTGAAGTCCCCACCCAGCTTTAGAAGGAAAAGGATGCCAGATGCCTCCAGGCTCTTCTTAGAGATGATTTTGCAGGCTCCCTAGGCTGCATCCAACAGCAGGATAGCCACTGTCACATGCTGGACAGCCAGCCTCATAGCATAGCGTGCTGCAAAGCTACAAACACACTTTGGGCTCCAGATAGTTTAAAGAAATACCCAAATCCTATAATTGAATATCATGGGTTGTTATCTCCAATAATTCACCAAGCCAGTCCAGGCTTAAACATTGGATACTTCCAGGCTGTTTCATTAAAATAAAAGCCACCAAGTGCATACAGAGTGAAGTTACATAGACCCTGCAGGATCCCTACTAGATGGCATCATGGCTGAAGGATACAAGGAACACCTTCCCATGGACTTCATCTTCTTAGCTCTCATTTGTTTCTTTTGCCAGATTTCTCAACAAAATACAATTCCAACCCACTAACCTGCCAAAGCCAGAACAAAGCCCCACGATGCCTCTTTATCTGAGACACCTTCCTTTTTGCAAACCATTGGTCTGTATGTTCCGAAGAAGTATCACTTAGACTTTTAGTTTTCCTTTTATAGAATTCAATTTCAGTTCTAGTGGCTACTTGACTTTGTATGATCAATCCCCCAACCCCCTCCCCCCACAAAAATGGTGTTTGTTTGGTTTCAGAACAGAGTTCAGTGATTGGTCAGGAGTGACACTCACCACGGGCTCAGAAAACATAACCACACATCTACCTGGGCTCCATCCCTCGGTAGGACCCAACTCGGGAACATATTTTCAAAGCTGGGGCAGCCACTGGGAGTTCACAGAAATGTCACGCCTGCCTGTCTGCTATTGTGAGCAGTTCCTGAGAAAACAGGACGCCAGATTGAAAAACACACAGGTCAGTGGCCCTTTCAAAATTATCAAAGGACACAAATTAAAGAAGAAAATGCTTTCAAAAAGTCAGGCAGCTCTCAAATAAATATCTAGGCTGCTGCAGCAGCTTTTGACTCGCTTCACAAGCCCAGTTGTCCTCACCGCTGTCCCTCAACCTTCCATGCCTCAAATGAACCTGCTGATCCAAACACACCCCAGGCAGGTTGTTGTGTGTGTTTTCTTTTTTCATTGTGGTAAAATAACACCAGTGGAGCGTCTGCCATTTGCAGAGGCCTTAGATACAACACACCATAATGCTAACACCCCTGACCACCGCTACGCTATTCTACACTCATACTGTGACCTCTGCTACCCTTCACTATTTGTTCCCATGCCAATCCTGTAACCCTGGGAATCCACCAATATATTTGCCCCTGACGGTGACCACCCTCCTGCTTCAGATGAGGGGAGTCACAAGCCTTTGTCCTTTGTGCCTGCCTTAATGTATTGTGGTTCAGTTCTTCATCAGAATTGCCTTCCTTTTCAAAGGTGTATAGTACTCCATTATACCTGCATGCCATGTTTGTTTATCCAGCCATCAAGGGATGTTGGAGCTACTCACACATCTTTGTCGTGATGGGTGAGTCTGTTGTGACTAGCCAGGGTCTTCACTATAGGGGTGCTTGGCTTCTATCTAGACACAAGTGATTGTCATGGGATTTGCAAATTGGAAATGACAATCACACACATCCCAGCAATGGCACAATCAAAATCCTTGGAGACCTTGGGCTTCTAAGGGGAAACCACAAAGTAAAAAGACGCCGTTTGCAAACCTAAAATGGAATGAGTACAAGTAGGCTAAACCAATGCAATGCTAACCCACCGCCAGCAGACCTGGCTCTGGACCGAAGCAATGGATCCCACAGACAAAATTCACAGGTGGAGACAACAGAGCGGATGTTCTTCAGCAATCCAGGGTGCAAAGGAGCTGTGACAGCCTCGTTTCTGAGAGTCTGCAGTCTGCGTGAAACATATCACAGTGGCCACTGTGACGTCGGAAGGCCCTCTGGAAGGGAGTGTTGCTTTGCGAGGGCGCCTGAGGCAGGAGTCGGAGTTGCCCAGGAGAAAAGAAACGTGAATCTACTTCACGCAGAAATGGAATATACCAAATTCTAGCCATAAACTGTCAGAGCTTGAGAAAAGGCAGGTTCAATGTGGCTACTCAAAGAGCAAAATGGAGAGAGAGGGGGTTTGCATGTGTGGGGATACCAAGGGCAGAGCAGGCTCTAGTCATGATGGCTAGAGGCCCCGGGAGGGTGTGAACCTGGGAGGCTGAATGGCATCTAAATTTAGAAACATGCTCTTTCACTATGGAGGGCTGAGGCCAGGACAGTGAGGGCGGAGATGGCCCCCCCAGTGTCAGAGAAATGTGGTCGAGTCGTATGGAAACTCAAGGAGACAGGGATCTGAGAGAGACAAGAGCATGTGCCTCCAGGAGACAGAAAGTGGGTCAGACATGAGGGAGAGTCTACACACTCATCAAAGGACAGGTAGAGGTTTAACATTATTGGGGTCCCAGGAAAAAACAGCACCAATAAAGACTTTATAAAGAAGTTTATAATGACTTAAAAGAGGATGTATAATACACACTGAGAGGCCATGTATTGAGACTGAGTACTTCTATATTAGAGAGACAGGTGTCATTTACACTGAAGATAAGACAAAGGTTAACTCTTGAATCCCAGGCATCAGCCTGGGAATCCAGCATGGGACTGATCAAGACCCCCTGAATCTGGGTGTCAGTGAGGAGGCCTAGGGAATCTATTGAGCCTTGGGCAGCAGATCAGTACCCATCCCAATTATACACACGGACTTTGGACTCCCATAGAACAATGTGAGGTGCACTCTCACCCTGAACTCTTGGGGAAGGGTCTAGGCCCTGCCCTATATGAAATGACAGACTATGGACACCCCCATGGAGGGCCTCACCCTCCCTGGGGGAATGAGGGGATAACGGGGGGGGGTTGGGGGGAGAGCACGGGAGGAGGGGAGGGAATGGGAGAGGGACCTGGAACTGACTTGTGAAGCAACCTCGTTTCTTATCTAAATTTAAACTGGAAAATAAAATATAAAAAAAAAAAGAATTAGCATCCAGGAGGAAAGACGCTAGTCATGACTCAACATGTAAGATTTTTCCATTCCTGACCTGCGTGGCCTGACCCTTGAAGTCATTCTTCTTTCTATCCAACGCTCAGCCCATCACCAGGTCAGCAAAGGTCTCGCTTGCGTGACATCTTACTCATTCGGTGTGAGTTTTTGTTTGGTGAGCAAAGAGGCACAATTCTACTGTGATCGTCAACCCTTTTATCACAAAAAAAAAAACACAAGAGCAGTTGGCTCTAACTTACAGTTTGGGCGATTGCCAGGCAGTGGTTGGTTGGCCTCGTTGCTTTGGTCTGAGGAAAGGCAGAGGGTCACAGCAGAAGCATTCCGTAGAACATAGCCACTTATCTCACAGGAACTGGGAAGACGAAGGAAAGGGGGAGAGTTAGCTTCCTTTCACTAAGCTGCATTTCCTGGGGGATACCAGTTTTGAAAGTCAATCTTTGTGAAATGTTCTCACTATAAGTTGGTAACTAACAAGTCACATATTTCTACGTTACCCTTTTCATCCGGCATCATTTCCAATTATTCCAAGTTCTATTTTTTTAAGTATTTTTAAATTAAGAGGGAGTAGCTCAATTTTTCCAGCTCCACCTTAACAAGCCATAAAGATACCGCATCAGACAGGTTCTAGATTTTAGGGTGGTACTGGACAAGAATATGCAATCTGTAAGAGCACTTACAGCAGCAGAACCCCACACCAAAATGAAAAAAATAACTAAGAAACATATAATTCAGAAAAAAGATAGGACATTGCATATAAACCTTTACCAGGTATCCCCTGGGGGCTGATAAATCAGGTCTAATAATAGACTGAAGTGTGGTATTCTGGGTGGGAGACTGCATTTTATCACCAATTTGAATAAGTTAAAGAAGAAAAATACCCTGGTGAGGGCTGGGAAGATGGCTCAGTGGGTAAAGCGCTTGCCACACAAGCGTGAGGGCCTGAGTTTGAGCCCCAGAATCTGCATGGAAATGCTGAGCGGGGTGGCACCTGCTTAAAATCCCAGGGCTGGGTTAATTCCTCGGACTTAAGGGATAGCCAACCCAGTTAAACTGGAGAGTTCCAAGCCCATGATAAACCCTGTTTCAAAAACAAATAGCATCTGAGTGGCATGACACCTGAGGTTAGACTCTGGCTTTCAAACACATGTGAACACATATGTACCTTCACACAGACACACAGACACACAGACACACAGACACACACAGACACACACAGACACACACACACACACCCCTACTGCTCTGAACACTGAGCTCAGCTATAATTCAAACCAACTGCAGACATGCCTTGATGTTGCTATTGGTATAGTTTGTAGCTCAATATTTTAATCCCCACTCTTTTTTAGTACAAAAGCCATAAAATAGGTTTAGGTATTAAATACACCTATACAAATTCATGTCACCGTGGAAAATACTCTTGCCTGGTTTTAAGATTAAATTCAATACTTAATTACCATCCTCTGGGATTAGTGATCACTAATTTAGCTTGAAGGTAAAAATATTCCCTTGATCCAATTAAAGCTTCAAATAAAATTTGGCAAGGCCCATCCCAGAATTTGTACAGCTTACCATTGAACTTTTAACTGTCAATATGGTTACTTTCCGTGGAAGCAACTGACTGTGGACAGTGTGCGCAAAGCTTTGCCTGGGGCATTTGTTGTCTTAGTTAGGTTTTTGTATTGCTATGACAAAAAGCAAGTTGGGGGGAAAGGATTTCTTTAGTTTACACTTCCACAGCATAGTTCATTATTAATGGACATTGGGACAGGAACAGAGAATGGCCTTGAAGGCAGGAGCTGCTGCAGAGGCCATGAAGGGGTCCTGCTCAGTGGCTTGCTCACCATGGCTTGCTGAAGAGGATGTGGAGAAAGGGAAATTCTCCTCCATTGCTGGTGGGAGTGCAAACTTCTAAAGCCACTGTGGAAATCAGTATGGCGATTTCTCAGAAAATTAGGAATCAACCTACCTCAAGAAGCTGCAATTCACACCACAAGGACAATTGCTCAACTATGTTCATGGCAACATTATTCATAGTAGTCATATCTTGGAAACAACCTAGATGCCCCTCAACTGAAGAATGGATAAAGAAAATGTGATATATTTGCACAGTGGAGTAGTACTCAAAGTAAGAAACAATGGCATCCTAAAATTGGCAGGAAAATGGACAGAACTAGAAAAAAACATCCTGAGTGAGGTAACCTAGACCCATAAAAATATAGTACGCACTCACTCATAAGTGGATACCAGACATAAAGCAAAAGATACCAAGCCTATAATCTACAACCCCAGAGCATCTAGAACCCTCTCCAAAGCAGATTCAGAAATCCACAACTAGTCATTGGACCAAGCTCCTGGAGTACAATCAAACTGGGGGAGGAGTGATAATATGAACAAAGGAGTCACGACCATGATGAGGAAACCCACAGAATCAACTGACCCGAGTTAGTGAGAGATCACTGACTCAGGTCTGACAAATGGGGAACCTGCATAAGACCAAACTAGACACTCTTAATATATAGGTGACAATGGTGCGGCTGGGACAGTACATGAGGCCCCTGGCAGTGGTCCAAGATCTAACTCTAATGCACAAACTGACTTAGTGGAGCCCATTCTATATGGAGACGCCTTGCCCAGCCTGGACACAGGGGTGTGTGGGTGGGGAAGTGCCTTGGTCCTGCCTCAATGAGATGATGGGACAGACTTAGTAGACTTCCTAGGGGAGGCCTTACCCTCTCCAAAGAGCAGATGGAAGGTGGTAGGGAGAGGTGGGTGGAGAGAAGGGAGGGGAATGGAAAAAAGAAATTAATAAAAAAGCACAGGAAAAACAAGAAAGGCAGACAAGGACCCATGAGACGGTTCAGCAGATAAAGGTGCTTGCTATGCAAGCTTGATGACCTGGGTTCATTCCTCAGGACCTACACAAAAGAGAAAGGAGAGAATTCCACAAAGTTGTCCACTGACCTCACACACGTGCTGTGGCATGTCTTCCCACACATGTGTACATGTACAATAATAATAATTTTTAAAAAGAGAAAGAAAAAAAAACAAATGTTAATGTGCCCAACATCTGTGGAAAGCAAGAGGAAAAATGTGACATTCTTCTGGCACTTTGGTGACGTAATTGGCAAAAGTCATCAAGGATTTCAATATAATTTCAGACAGGGTGATGTGGCAGGCAGAGGATGGAGGCTATGAATTAGTCACTGGTGTAAAAGCTTGAAATGAGGCCAGAAAAGAAGGGGCTGAGTAAGCACAGCCTGAGTAAGCGAGCAGGATTTCTCCTACCTGGTGGGAGACGCTGCTTTCTCCTACCTGGTGGGAGATGCTGCTTTCTCCTACCTGGTGGGAGATGCTGCTTTCTCCTACCTGGTGGGAGACGCTGCTTTCTCCTACCTGGTGGGAGACCCTGCTTTCTCCTACCTGGTGGGAGGTCCTGCTTTCTCCTACCTGGTGGGAGACCCTGCTTTCTCCAAGTCCTCTTTAACAGAAGAAGGAGGCAAGGTGCTGGCGGATGCTGGATGAGAGAGCAGATGCCTGCCATAGAGACCACTGTCAGAAAGGGTTAATAGAGAGCTAGTTGGGAGACAAACACCAGGAAAAGCACCTGTCTCGGGAAACAGCACTGCAGACATGAGGTGCGGCTATGTGAGACTGTGCCCTAAGATCCAGGTGTTACAGGATGGGTCCCATGGCAGAGCGCCTGGGAGATGGAAAGGACTTTAAGAGGCAGGGAAGTGCCAGCCTACAATCCCACGGCCAGAAAGTCTGGGAAACAGAACCTTCATCCAATGACTGATGGAAGCAGAGGCAGATACCCATGGCTAAGCACTGAGCTGAACTCAAGGAACCCAGTGACAGAGAGGGAGGAGTGATGAGCAAAGGGGTTAAGACTGGGCTGGTTTAACCCCCAGAACCAGCTGACCTGAACAAGGGGTAGCTCTTGAATCCCAGACTGATGCCTTGGAATCCAGCATGGGACTGATCAAGACCCCCTGAATGTGGGTGTCAGTGAGGAGGCCTAGGTAATATATTGGGCCTTGGGTAGTAGATCAGTATTTATCCCGGGTATACAAATTAACTTTGGGTGCCCATCCAACAATGAGAGATGCACTCTCACCCTGGACTCTTGGGGGAGGGTCTAGGCCCTGCCCTGGATGAAATGACAGACTATGGACACCACCCTGGAGGGCCTCACCCTTCCAGGGGAAAGGAGGGAGTATTGGGGGGGTTGGTGGGAGGGCAGTGTGGGAGCAGGGGAAGGAAAGGGAGAGGGACCTGGGATTGACATGGGAAGCAACCTTGTTTCTAATTTAAATTTAAATTTAAAAAAAGAGGCAGGGCCTTCCTGTTCAGAGTGCTTCAGATCACTAGGGGAATGTCTTAGGGGTAGTGATACCCTGGTCTATTTTACTTCTTTGATTTGAGATAAGCGTTTTCATTCTACTATCTCCTCACACAAGGACAAATGTTTCACTCTAGGTCTGAAACAATAGGGCCGAGCAACAAAGGCTGGAACCACAAACTGAGTCATAGTCACCATCCTTCTCTGTCAGCTGATCACCTTGAGTGTCTCAGTCACAGAGATCTGACCAACCAACAGAGGACCTGGCACATGTGCCAAAAAGGAGTGCTGCGTTTATTAAAAACAAACAAATAAAATCCCAGAGCTGAGGAACATTTATCATCACAGCCCTACAGAGGTGTCAGTCATGAATCTGGCCAAGAGCTCCAGGTGTCTGTGACAGAGTTTTTTCCTCTATTGGTCTACATGTTTTAATGTCCAGACATTATGCTCCTAGGAGCAGCAGAGTCCACAGGCAAGGTTAACCATCCTCCTCCTCTTCCTGGGAACTGCCTGGGGCCTCAAGGGCATGGGAAGCCACAGACTTAAAGCTTGCCCTTCTAAAACTAGCACTTGTCTTCAGGTGTAAGGTCATCTTCAAGGCTATGGCTAGAAGGAGGCCTGTGTCTCTCAAGTCACAACTCAGGGAATGGACACTTTAAGAGCATACACCTCACCCCCCCCATCTGAAATTTCTCTCCCCAATGTCTCAGCTTCTCATCTTAGTCCAGAAACATTACAAGGGGGATTCCATAGGCAAATAACTCACAGGTTCTAAATGGCATGTTGGGCTGGGCTCACAATTATATAAGGACAATAGTGCATGGAGGTCTTAGCTGTCTGTGTCCCAGTAGCTTGGCCATCCTGGGCTTCCCTGGGTGATTCCGTCCTCTCCATCTCTCTGATCTCTGCCTGGATGGGGAACTATCCACCCCAGCATCCAGCTGGACTTATACCATAAAGTCTAATGCTAATCTCTGTATCTGTAACCAAACCCCAGGCCT